GTATCAGTTGCTTAGTATCTAAAACACTGCTGCATCACTACTATATTCATAACACATCTCTTAGCTTGATACTAGAAGGCGCTATGTGGATTGTCCCTAGTGGGTTATTACAGTGATTTAAATTAATCCTGTGGTAGATTTAAAAAAATGACATTTATATTTATATATTTATTAAAATTTAATTTAATTTAATTATTTTAAGCATGAATCCAATAGAAGGAATTGAGTTTATTTTACGTATTTAAACAATATGTAACAATTTGTTTTACAATATCTGATAAATTGTTTCAAATCTTGCATTTAGTTTATTTACCCTTAGCATTTATATTCTGTTCTAATTGAATAGCAAGCAATGTCGACAGCTTAGTTAGTAATTAATTTTAAATACAACATTTTTAAATTTTTTTGTCCACTGATTTTCTTCCGTCGGGGATTGATTTTAATTAAAAAATATATCCATTTCTTTACTTTTACATAGAGTCTTAAAATAGAACTATCCAATTAACAATGTCTCAAAAAACAAAATTATATAAATATTTTTTAACACTATCTAAATTCGGCTTAATGTATAAATTATGCATATATTATATAACAGCAGCGAATAGTTGCACGAGCAGTATTAACATTTGAATTGTATTATAAATTAAACTAGACATATTATATTACATTGTTAAGAAAGCGGGAATAAAAATAGAAATTGTATTTTATAGTGTGTGATCGAGTGATGAACGGTAAAAGTTGTCTTTACCTGCAGAAAGAGAAAATTATACATATAAGGTAACAGATAATATGGTTACAATGTTATATATGCGTATTATTATAAAATATGAAATTCAAGTTTTCTACACTTTTCATTTCTATTGTTTTTTTTAACTGTTCTTATGCTGTTAGATGGCTTTCACTGCTTCACCGAACGATAAGGTGGTAACACTTCGTTCGTCTGCGGGTGCCATCTCTCCCAGATTCTTATGAACTGGCTGAACGCCAACTCCTATCTGACGGATATAATTTTAGTCTAAGAGAACCGGACTGAAAATCGATTCCGAATAAACAATCAGCATATTTTTAATCTGTATGATATCCACTAATTCTCAATTTTGTATACTTACTTTTTTCTAGTCAGAACTTGAATCTTTACAATGAAAATATTGAAGTAAAATCTGACAATATTTTGTTTGTAAAGATTCAATATTGTTTTTTATATAATTTTTTATAAATCGAAACTTGTTATAATAATTTTGAGTAATTATTTAAAAATAAAAATATATATTTGTAATGTTTATGTATCGAAATATCTTTACTTATTCCTCATAATAGACTTATAGAAAAATCTTTTTTTTAGTTCTTACTAATTTCGGCACAGTAGATATTCATTAACATAATTTATTCATATATAGTAGTAATATAAAGTATCGCCACACTTTCTCCTGCAAAGACGTAAGCAGATGTATAAAACATTTTTAAGGCATAAGACTGAATTATTAACACGTTTTATACTTTAAAAAAATCACATTATTTTTATTTACTAGAGAACATGTTACGGGAGGTAAGATAAAAATTTTTTTTTTAAATGTGCGTATCGATCCCGTGACCATCAGAATTAAAGCGGCGTGTTAAACCGCTAGACCATCGACGTCTTCAATATCCATTGTTAACTTGACTTTACTGATGATCTTAAAAAAGTGTGGAAATTTCCATCCAGTATAACTGCGAAGCTACAATAGACTATAGTTGTCTTGCTAATTATTTCTCTATATGAATACGGCCACAGTTACCGTTACCAAGATGGCCAAATTATTATATGTTAAGAGGTCTTCTTGAGATTCTAAGTAAGAGGGCTCCAACAATCTTGACATTCTCAAATATTGTCAATTTTTAGCAGCATTACTGGATTACTATAATATTAACAAAATAATTATAAAAAAATTTGATAATTAAACACTAATTCAGCAACAAATAAAAAATAGCGGTACCTACACCGTGGAATCTGACGTGTTTCATTATAATATATCGATGTTTTACTAAAAAAATCAATGTCTCCCCCAAACAACCCCATATTATAAACAACCTCATATCCCCAAAACACCATTTCTGGAATATTAAAATAGTCTAAAAATCTTTGTGTAACGTAAATCTAAAAAACTAATACCTATATTATAGATGAACTAAGGGAAATTAAAGAAATGCATTATGAAACAATGTACATATGTACATATTAGTTAAAAGAATATATGTATTAGTATAATTGTCTATGACATAACTTTTCAATTGTCTATTTTTAATATAATTGTCATTGATTTCTTTGTAGTGTAACGATGACAGTTCACGTACCTATATTAAATATATAACTAATAATTCATTTTTATTATTTATATATATGTATTGTTATACACAAAGTTGTGTTACAAACAATAATAGGAGACGACCATGAAAAGTTAATATTTTTTAGCATCAATATTCAATTTCCAAGTATATACAATAGAACTCTAAAAATACCATATATTTATTACGCACTTTTAAGTCTGTAATATTTGTCTTTAGAATAATTTAAATCTTAGATGTAATGTAAATATATAATATATAATTGTTGTAATTAATTTAGAAGCCAAGACTGAGCTAACATTATTACTATATCTTAATACTTTTGTACTTCACGAATAAAGAAATTGAATTTGAATTTGTGATCTAAAGCTCCTAAATAAATAAAGAAAAAAAATGCACTTGAATAAATAAAGAAGAAATAAAATAAAAACACAATGGTATTGGTCACAATAAAAGATAGAAAATTACTTATCGTTGGTAGTTGACATAGAATATTTGTTTTATTATATTTAGTTATAACAGCCGTAACCGTATTCCTTGTGAATTGGAACAAATATAGACAGAACCGTAAAAAATGTCATAGATACATAATGTATGACAACATACTATTAAAGGCAGAGACCTACCTCTGTTTCGCTCTGGTGTATGATGGAGACAGTATAACTATCTGCGTGTATTATACATATAAATCTTCCGGAAGAAATTCTCAAAATTGTAATAAAAACCGTAACAAAATATGTTACGTGATTTAGTAGAGACAGGCGGGGAAACAGACATGATGAAAACAGAGACATTGCTACTACGAGTACATGTATAATTGTATATTTTGAAATTTTTGCTTCATAGTAAATACTAGCTATGCCCACAACTGAAGTTGCATGAAATTTATAGCCTATTTATTATTCTGATGTATGAGCTGTAAAGTTTCATCAAAATCCGTTCAGTAGTTTTGGGTTAGGGATTTTAGTGAAATAGATAAATATAAAAATGTGAATGCTGCAAAATAATGTACGATGTTAGCCATACAAGACATAGTAAATTAATATTCAAGCAAATGTCTACAAACTTATTTCTAACTAGTTCTTTAAAATAAATTTGAATATGTTAGGTTGTCATTGCAGTTTCCTTCTATTAACATCTTATTTAAAATAATATGTGACGATTATTAAGATAAACCAATCTTTACAAACAAGGTTAGAAATACTATTGTATCATTGATGATAATTAATTAATAATTATAAAAAAGTTTTGAACAAAGTAACATTTTACGATCTTGAATTCTATATAACTTTGGCTGTAAGTTGGTACGACTTAAACAACGACACCTTTATTAGCTAAACTTACCTTCTAAATAAGAAATAAAGAAACAGATGTACATAAATCTCAATAATTCATTTTTTATCTATCGTATACACACAAAGAAATGTATTCATATGTTTTATCCAACTAATAATACATACGTCGAAGACATGTCAAAATCATCAATCTGTAATTATTGATCTTACAACCTGCTGTTCTATTATGATATTCCGTTCTTGTTGGTGCCGAAAACAATGATCATTGTTCTATTGAAGTTTTAAATCTATGTAATACATACATATAATTAAACATCATAATTCTTGTCTTAAACTCCTTAGCTTTCACAATGCAATAAGGCATATTTTCGTATAACAACTTAATATTAAATTACTGTAATAAATTCCTAGTTATTTTGATCGATAGTGTCTAATTCATCAAAATAATGTATTACGTAAGTACTGAATTACTAGTTGTAATGTTACAATGTTAAAAAAATAAAATATACGAATCGGAAATACAGTGATGTAAAGTTGTTTCTAGATTTATATCATCCATATATCAGCTTTCGTGTTCACATCATAAACACGTAACTGACATTCACTAGCAAAACTATAATTTAATACCGACTTTTTTGTTTATAAGCAATTACGACCAAACCATTCATAATATCTTATATCACATCGTTTCCATTGAAAATGAAATTGAACGAATTCACGCCGAAATGCGACTATAGAAAGTTGAACCTTTAATGAATATCTACTTTAAACCTGTTTTAGAGTTTACCTGCTTATAAACTGACTTGGTTAGCCGCTGGTCCGGTATGTGGAGATCTCTCCAAGATCTCTAATAAATAAAATGTGGAACATACATAAATAAACACGCTATAAAGACAGGCCGGCCTTATAGGTTTATAGAAGTTAACGAAGAAAGAATATGCATTTCTTTTATCAAAAGGGATATATTTGAGACTTATTGATATGCAAATCCATTTCACATTCGACGGAATATTCCATCGTCTTAGATTCGTAACGTATATGAAAGAAAGTGTTATAATAATGTTGTTTGGAATATTTCCGGAGTGGCATTAATAGACATGATATGGGTTTGATTACGCCCATTCTTTCTTAACTCTCTAACACCTTACCTCAGGCATATTCAATTTCCTTTCAAGTCGAAACTAGTCAATGATATTTATCAGATGTAACGCATCATTAGCTTTTGACCATGATCGTTAGGAACTTTCATTTTTTTTTCTCTTTACTATTCGATTTGTGATTATGAAATAAAACGTAATAATGTTGAAACAATAATTTATTGTGAACATTCAATAAGTTAATGGCAATAAATTAAATTAAATAATAAATAAAATAAATAAGTCTTTGTACAAAAGAGGTTAAAGGTTCGGACGTGGGCGTCCCGTTTGGTATTTTTCTATCTACTTATTGTGAGAGTAGGCGTTGTAAGCTAGACCTTGAGCCTCGTCTAGGTTTTTGTTCCAGTCGGCGCCATAGCTGGAGTAGCCACCGCCGCCGTGCCCGTGTCCTACATCGTGGGAAACGTGTTCCACGTGGACAGGGTGATGTGACTCGTGGTGATGGGCATGTGGAATAACTTCATATGTGGTTTTGCTGTGGTCGTGTTTGAGACACCAAGCGACGAACAGAATCACGGCTAGGACTAAGGCGATCTTAGCTGTGGCGTACGCCTTCAGGGCGATCAGCTTGACGATGAGAAGCTTGCCGAGTAGTACCTTGGCACCGAGAAGGCCGATGATAGCGCCTAAACCACCACCCTTCTTCTTACCACGACCTGGAAGGCGTAAAAATAATTTTAGTACACAAATTGATTACCAAAGATTCAATATAATTTTTAATTAAGCTATATTTAATCTGTTATGTTTGTGGAAATATACAATGACCGAGACGGCCACATTCTATCAAGTAGGTCAATATCTTGTTTGCGCTTTATAACAAAACATGTGAATTTTATTTAATTTCCTAAAATAATTTTATGGTTATTTTGTCCTATCTTACCTTCTTCGAGAGACCTCTGCAGGGTCTCCTTGTCAGCCTCATTCATCTTAACTTCGACAGCGTGGGTCTCGAATAGACTGACTACTCCATCCATAAGCCTATAGTTGACCTCGGCATCTCTGGATGTAACGTCCACTGGCAGGGAGTCTAATTTCTTGCCCGCTTTCTTGTCTGGTTCGCCTTTAAGGACAATGCCCTCAGCTATCGTTATGCTCCGTGAAGCCCTTAGATTGTCGACGATTCGTAGTAACTTTTCCTGTGAGACAAAATTGTATATTAATTTTATTGTTACTCCAAATGTTCCAAAACAGTGGACACTTTCGAAACTAAGTTAGCGTATATTGGAATGGCAATTATAACGGAAACTATAGTAAAGTGACAGTCCACGGGAAAGGAACTTGATACAACACAAACACTAAACACGTTCACTGATGCACTTTCACTAAAATAATTAAATTATGAACCTTGACACATAAAAAGTAATCCCCTTTGCAGTCCTTGACGAAGCTCATGGCGATATCCATGGTGTTATCACTGTCTTCGGAACTTGCGAAGGCCGCAAGGGCGATCACGAATACTACGATTAATTTCATTTTTTTACTATAAACTTTTTCTTTCACTGGCCGGATATTAATTATATGACATCGAGAGACTCGGATGTCAAGCTTAGTTTGGCGAAGTGGTGACTCTGCCATACAGTTTTATCATTTCCCCCCCACCTGCCTTCTATATTCTACACCATACGCGGCTCTCATCTGGGTTAAAATTATACTTCATTCAGATTGGACCTTAAAGTTTATGTAGATAAGTGTGATTTGTTATATCACGTAGGTTTGAAGGGTCGCCTTCAGTACAGTGTATGGTAAAAGTTATTTATTAGGTAAATTTTGTTTTAATTATATTACATATACGCATATATTTGTTGTCACATATATATGGAATATTCGTAATTAAAATTCTGTAAAATTACTGTAGAAATACTGAGACAGAGTAAGTATATAAAAGTTATATTAGGTATTATTTTAAATACAATATTTCTTGTTATTTCTTTCTTAAAAAAATATTACAGCTATTAGAAGTAAAGAAATATTTTCGTAATTTATATTGATACTTATAATTTATATAGGTAATTTATTTGATCATATATTTATATATTTGTGAATACAGATTCCATGTTTTAAGTAAGTACAAATATGGTACTAACAGGATGTGAAAGTAAAATTAATGTAAGTTAGTGTCAATACTTTTATATTTATGCATGTACATTAAAATATTGGATCTTGACAAAAAGTTTACGTAATGGTTTTTTTAGAACAGACATATTCCGGTTTTTATGAGTTGTCTTTTATATTTATTCGATGAAATATAATAATCAGTAGTAAATTTTGTATCTTTTAATATTTTATCATTACATAATAATAATAATAGTAATACTTACTACTAAAAATAATAACCAGTCCTACTTTAAATTGTTTGATGTTTTAGAGCAAATTGTGATAATCTGATTAAAATTTTATTCTATATTTGAATTTTTATTTTAGTTTTTAGGTAGACTATAATTCTTACATTAAAATAATGTTACGTTAATATTAACTTTATTGAAAATAGATACTTTATCCTATATAGAAAAAATAGATTAAATTAAAGTGCATATAAATATAAAAATATATTGTCTATGAAAATCTGTTCTACAAATAAAATATTAATTAATAATAATTCCTAATAATACTTCGTAGAATAATTCTTCTTTCTGCTCGATAGTTTTATGTAACTATAAGTTTTAATTATATCGTCACAGATGAAATAAATACAGTTCATGTTTTCAGCAATGGAAAAATAGAGTTCTGTTTTTACACCGATAGCAAATATTTGTTTCTCCAAATAAAGATTTGAAGAAAAAAATATTTGCTATATAATTATATATATAATGCACATTTCTTTATAATTTAATATATTAAATTATAAAGAAATGTGCCACATATAAGTGGAAAATACCCACAAATGAATTTAAGAACATATGATCTCAACCGAATCGACATAAATTGTATATTAATAGAAATAGAAAGACTTGTTTGCAAACATTTTTAAATTGTCTTTTTTTATGATTCAACTGTCGGATATGGAATGCCGTCTGTGGAGATGAACCAGAAACTCGACTCGATAATCATTCAAAAAGAATAGTTAAATAACCTTTTCAAATTATTAATTACTTCTTCCGTTTAGTAACTTGCTTTGCAAGCTATATTCAGATTTGAATTATGATATTGCTAGGTACATTACTGGAGCACATGGTTTATTTAAATAGTTTCCATTAAATAGGTCAGCCTCACCTATTTCAAATAAACAGCTTGCTTTGTGAGCTGTTTCAGTGGAAGGGAGAGATAATGAAATTAAATTTAGTAATTTTACTTTACTAGGTAAGAGGCATGATATCCTAGTTCTTATCTATCGCATCATTGGCGTCATATGGGTAATAATAACTAACTTACCATTATAAGGAGTGACAGAAGTATTCGAAAGATATATATTAATTTATTTCATCATCTGAATGAAATCAACTTTCCAGACGAAAGGCAAAAAATTAATATATAAAATAAAAGTAAAATGAAAGCAAAGTTTAACAATTCAGAATCATTCCTAAATAGGTGGAAAAGCTTTTACTTATTTTATAATTCTTAAATAGAGCATTAACTGTTACAATAATAGTGCATTTTTTTTTTATTTTATTATACCTCCAAAAAAATAGAATAAATTTGAAGAAAAATTAAAATCGTTCTACTCTACATTTGGGAAAGTAGGTTACACGTAACAATTGAAGACTATTTTTGAGTTCGTAATACAACCATTTTGACTTTTATAGTGTGCTCGCTTATATAACTTTTTTTAAATTCTAGTTAAATACTATAACATAATAAAATATGGATATAGCTGCCAGTATCTAGTTCCATATAAAATATATAGGTTATCCGAGGTTTTCTCACGAGACTACAGCATGGAGTTTTTCAAGAAGAGTATATTAAGGTTTCTTAAGGGTCAGCAACACGCACGTGATACCCCTGGTGTTTCAGGCGTTCATAGGCTACGGAAACCATTTACCATCAGATGGGCCGTATGCTTGATTGCCAACATCGTAGTATAAAAAAATATCATTACTACAGTAATTATAAATAGGCAACTCAGAGATATTGTCAATTGCCGACGTTATAGTGAATGCCAAAATCAGATATTGACGGAGTATCTAACTGCTTGTCTACATATAAACTTTATACCAAGTCATCTGCGTGAGTACCTCAACTATTTTTGCTTGCTACACGTTGTCTCTATCTAGAATCTATTTAAGTTATATTTCAGTTTAAAGTATGTGTGATAGAGAGATATGGTAATAAATTACAGGATATTGAGACATGGTATAATAGTAATCATCAATATCGGGATCCAATGAGTAGTATCACATGATGGTAATGCCTATATATTGGCGACGGTTATTATGGGTTTTACTTTTAATGCCAAATTAAAAAAAAATCTGATATGATAGAAAAATTATAGAGTCTTGTTACTACTAACGAGACACCTCAGTCCCCACATTGTCAACAGCGTGATTTCCGTGGTGCTGTTCAAGTATAAGCAACGGTTGCCACTTTCCATCAAGTGAGCCGACAACTTGTTTGTCATTCTAATTAAATGTGTAAAAAAAAAGTTAAGAACGTGTATATACTCTCACATATATCGTATCTCTTACAAGAAATACATTGAAAACTTATTTTTATTTAATAGTCGTAGATATTAACTATAACTTTTTAATATACTCATAGATTTCATTTGACTCGGTGGTTTAGCAGTTTAGCACACTGCCTAAATTTCGATGTTCGCAGGTTCGACTCATATGGTATAAGTTTTTGTATGCATGAATATCATTGTTTATATCGGTCTGGTATTTATAACAGATTTCTAGTACACATAACACAAACTCTGTTTAGCTTAGGATTAGAGGGCGTTGGGTGAATTATCCTGAGAAATATCTCAGGATAATTCACACAACTAAAATACTGTATAATAATAATTGTACATTATTTCAGATGGAAATTAAATAACGGGTATAAATACTCACAGATGTTGTATACAGTCAAAACGTAATACATAGTAATATAAAGTATATTGATATTAGTTATTGTCTTACTTTTAATTAGTAAGATGATTAAGCACATTTCATATTAGGTATCAAACCTAATCAAATTTAGAGCATACCCACTAGTGACTGTCATTTTGTGCTTTCGGCGTAGAAGTTAATTTTCACATCTGTATTACTAATAACGGGTAATCACTCCTACGCAGAGTACCCAAATCAGCAGAGTAAGTATGATCAATGATTATAGAAAGTCAGTGATTGGTCAAGCAATTCAGATATTTCATCATCAATATTTAAATAAATGCTGTATGATCTTCTTATGAAAATACTGTAATCCGTTATCCGGGTCATCATCGGCTTCTTTAAATTAAAACATAGTATACAAATATGTTCGTCTTCGTATTTATTGTTCAGTCTATATTTACGTTAAATATCATAAAGAGCCGTTCAGTACAGACAGATACTTTTGTATTTATAAATATAATATTAGTATGGAGACTGCAACTTTACAATTTCGATATTCTAAAACCTATACTTACAATTTATTTAATATTCTAGAGAACGTACAATGGAAATATTTAACGAATTAAAATATTTAAGTACATGTATAATAATAATGATAACCCTGGATACTAGACACTACTTAGATATCTTTTGTAAATACATACATAGTATGCATAGAAATACCTACACATAGATATAGATTCAATTTTGTAATTTACAAAATTATTATTGCTTTAATATCGATTCTCATAAAGTTGCCAAGAATGTTAATACTAAAAGTGAAATGAAAATATTTCTCATTTTTAATCTACTCAAAGAAGGGTGATACTGTACCCGTCCATTGCTTTATACCAAGATATGCTTTCACTGATTTGGAAACTCGTATGGCGTATTAACTTACCATGTAAATATGTAACACGTCACAGCCGTTACAGTTAAAATTGGATACATATATATATATATGTGGGATTATCGCGAGTGAGACTTGAAGAAAAGTCTGATAATATTTAATTATTTATTTACGTCTTAAAATCATCTTTACATCGTCTTACGTCGTTCTGTCAACTCCTTCAATTCTTTTTTTAAAATAGAACTATAATAAATTAAAATGCATAAATCCTCTTTCAACATATAATTCTGTGAAAATTTATTTCCTATACTACAATTATATTCTTCAATAAGTTATCTAAAACTTTTGGTTCTTTATACATAAATTCAGTGATGCTACCATACTGTAATAATTCTTGAGAGCTGTTTAGCTGTTTAATCTCAGAATTAGATGATGGGCATTCCATTTCTACTATAATTAATAAACTTAACTTAATACAAGTTATTGTATATAGTCTATTGACAGCGGAATATTATTACAACTGGATTTCTTTCTAAAGATATACATCTTGTATATATTTAATTCGATCTTATTATTTATTTCTTAAAGGAGTTTTAAAGATTACTCCTTTAACAAATAAATAAGAAGATCGAATTCTATTAATCGCTTAATGGTATTTACCCAACTAAAAAT